AAGAGTGTCATATGTAAGGGTAAAAACATGTAAGATTTCTTTTGGGACAAAGCCTCTGGGATCCAACACAGATAAAAGCATGTTATTCAACTTTGGAGTAAAAACGCATCATAGCTGAGGCAGTTCTGACTGATCTAAGTCAAAAGCAGTGGAGCACTTTTCATATGTAGCTTGTCCCTGGCATGAATGGTTATTAACTCAAATTAGCCACAATTATTTCAAGAAAAAGTACTATCTCAGGGTACAAACACATGCAGTGTTTTGAAACAGTTCTAATTTGATCCAAGTCAAAACCTGTAGCAAAAGAAGAGCTTCATGGCCCTTTACGCATATAGTTTGTCTCTGGAATGAATGGCAGTTAATTTAGCCATGATTGTCCCAGGAAAAAAGTGTTATTTTGGATACTTAACAGGTATTTAGAGTCAGACAGTGGGTTTCTAGGTCTGTAGGATGCCAGATTTAGAGACTGTGTCCCAGAAATTATCCAACACTGCCTAATGTTGGGGCCAACAGTGATCTCCAGAAGACAAAAAAAACTTGGAGAGGAAAGTGTAGTTATTGTGTGAAGTAGTTATTCTACCCCTGTTATGGAAATATAGTTATTCTACTACGGTGCAGTTTGTGATGTGGGAAGCATGTGAATTATCATGCTTGCTAGTCCAAGATTGATCTCAAACTAAAACCATTTGAAGCTCCAAAAACCTCACTATTTTCTTTCTTTTAAATTAAAACTACTGTTAATAGTAAATCAAATAAAGACATGCATATATGCCATTGACATTTAGGCCTGTTGTAGATAGAAAACATATCCAAAATGTCATTGTCATCAGTTTACGCAAGTATGTGTGCATGTGTGGCCAAAGCAGTTGGTTGCTATGTGGGAGACACCCAAGCCAGACTTAATGTCAGCATTTTTTCCTGTCAGTTCCATGGCTTCATTGTACATTTCAGTAACTTGTATAAAATTTAACTTGTCCCTTCAACAATATGGCAAAATAAATTTCAAAAGAAAGAATACCAATAAATATGCCAGAAAATAATCTGGTTCCTAAATCTTTTGGACCACCTTTTTAACTCTTTACTAGAAATTATTTATCTTTAAGACTCCAAAATAGTATATCAGAGATAAATTAAGCTTTACTGAGTAATGGACACCTAAAAAAAATGTTTCAGGAAGCTAAGCAGCCAAAACAGAACCATGTAATTTGAAGCTTAAATACTACAGAGATCTAGCCAAGGAAAAAAACAAACTGTCTTGTTTTGCTCAGAAACCCAAAGAGGCTGGGTTAGATTTAGCTGTTAGTGTTAATGAATTAATTTGATTCATGTTACATTCCTGGATTCACATCGGAAGGTAGATAACTTTAATATGCACCAGTACAGGCTGGAGATTTCACTGGGACAGGCTGGAGATCAACTGGCTAAGCAGCAGCACTGCAGAAAAGGACCTGTGCGTTACAGTAAGCTGAATATGGGCCAACAGTATACTCTTGTTGGGAAGGCAGTTAATGGTATAGTGGGCTGTGTTATTGGGAACATTGCCGGCAGATTGAGGGAAGTGATTCTTCCTCTCTTCAGCACTGGTGAGGCCATATCTGGAGTGCTGTGTCTAGTTTTGGGCCCCCCAATACAAATTAGAGAGTCCAGCAGAGGGCAACAAGAATAGCTAGGGGGCTGTGGCACATGACTTCTGAGGAGAGCTTGAGGGAACTGGGCTTATTGGCTGCATCCAGATAAGTGCAGTCATGCAGTACATGGTGCTGCAGACACATGTGTGGCACCACATACCACACATTCCATTGTTCTCTGTGCTGCAAGGAAGTAGCACGGAAGGTTTTTTTTGACCCCTGAATATCCAGGCATTGGAAAAAATCCACCAT